TGCACGGCAACCGTTCGAGAAGCACCGCCCGTAAGAAACACCATGGTGTGCCCTCACCGGAAGAAAGAAAGAAAAAGGACGCCCCAAACTCGCGGTCCTTGTCCTCGAATCGTTCCTTCTGGCCTTCCTCTCCGCTTCGTGATTCGCCGCGCGTCTCCTATCCTGCGCGCCTGAAGATCGACACCACCACCACCATTGCAAGCAGCAGGGCGCGGGGGCCTCCTGGCAGTATGGCCCCTGGGTTTTGTTGCGGCGGCCCTCTCGAGAAATCCCCAATCTCCAGCACGGGGAGCCATCGTGGACCTCCTCGACAGAAATGGTAGATTCTCTCAGGGGATCTTTCCGCGGTTCGCAGCCTGGTGTTCCTCCTTGAGCACCTTCCGTTGCCCCCATGTGGCCCCCTAGCGCGCACTTGCCCCTCCTGGCGTCTCCTGGGGCTCCTGGGAAGCCTGCAGGGGCCTCCTGCAATCGCCTGGAGCCCACTGGTCGGAGCAGATGGGCTCGACGGATCGCGTCGCATGGCCAATGCATCTGTGCTGTCGGCGTGCTGAAAATCGGTCTCCACATCGAGCCGCAACGCCGATGCATCGGCGATGCGCGATCCGCCGACCCCATCTACTCGGACCCCATCTGGGAGGCATGGAATGTAATTGATGCTCCTGCTCCCTCCCAGATCTTCCTCACATCCGACCTCTTCTCTCGACGGTTCGCCGCATTACTCCAAAAGGGAAACGCTAACGGGGGACTGGCCTATGGGGGGCGGAGGGAGCATCGACCTGCCATCGGCGATGCATCCGCGATCGATCGGCGATGGGCCCCCGATAGCGAAACCGCACGCTGCTTGGAGGACTGGGCTACAAGGCCCCGGTCGGCGATAAATGGGTGATTCTGGGGGTCGATCGGTTGATGGACAAAATCCTGCACCAGCCGCGCAACCGGGGCGACGGCGCTAACTTCCACGCGCCCCCCGTGCCCCCGATTCAATGTTGATTGGCTGCGCCCGCTGGGTGCAGGACTTAGGCCAGTCGGCGGATCGACAAATCGCGACACAGCCTGCCAATACTGAGTTGGGGGCGCGGGGGGCGAAACAACAAATCAACAAAAAAAAGGTGTAGGATTCTGTCCATCAAAATCGATGCGACCCCCCTGAACTCATCCCTCCCAAAGCTGCCCCTGACGTCACGTGGGCTCCTGAGAATGCGGAGGGGCTCCTTGCAGCAGGCAGGGGCGCTCTTGGGGGAGGGCTTCGCGGCTTCTCGGGAGGCTATGCCCAAACCGCCAGGAGGGCCTCCAAGAAGCCGCCGTGCCTTCTCGGACCCCCACCCCCGCCTCCTTGGAAGGCCGCCCCGTTCACGCCACCCCACATTCAAGTCGGCCTGTCCTCCGACAGCGGGGATTTGGGACGAATGAATATTCAAAAACATATACCACAAATGGACAATTAGCCGGACGAAGGACCCAACCATATGCATGTGTGAGTACCGCAATTGTGATACACATTTCCGGTGGGGGAACCGCATGCGGACTGCGCCACGGGGACCTTCGGTGGAGCTCCCTATGGGGCCACGAAGCGCTGTACTGGGCGAGGGAGACGCATGCGGACTGCGCCACGGGGACCTTCGGTGGGCCTCCATATGTGGACACGAAACGCTGTACTGGGTGAGGGGGGCGCATGCGGACTGCGCCACGGGGACCTTCGGTGGAGTTTCCCATGGGGCCACGAAATGTGTGAGGGGTGTGCCGAAATGAATGGCGGGGACGCATGCGGACTGTGCCACTGGGCCCTTCGGCGGAGCTCCTATGGGGGCACGAAACGTGTGAGGGGTGGGCCGGAATGAGTGGCGGGGACGCATGCGGACTGTGCCACTGGGACCTTCGGCGGAGCTCCTGTGGGGCCACGAAGCGTATGAGAGGTGATCCACAATGAGTGGCAAGGACGCATGCGGACTGTGCCACTGTGACCTTCGGCGGAGCTCCTATGGGGCCACGAAGCGTGTGAGGGGTGTACCGACATGAGTTGCGGGGACGCATGCGGACTGTGCCACTGGGACCTGCGGCGGAGCTACTGTGGGGCCGCGAAACGTGTAAGGGGTGGGCCGAAATGAGTGGCGGGGACGCATGCGAACTGTACCACTGGGACCTTCGGCAGAGCCCCTATGAGGCCACGAAACGTGTGAGGCGTGTGCCGAAATGAGCGGCGGGACGCATGCGGATTGTGCCACTGGGACCTTCGGCGGAGCTCCTATGGGGCCACGAGGCGTGTGAGGGGTGTGCCGAAATGAGTGGCGGGGACGCACGCGGATTGTGCCACTGCGGCCTTCGGCGGAGCTCCTATGGGGCCGCGAAGCATGTGAGGGGTGGGCCGAAATTAATGGCGGGGACGCATGCGGATTGTGCCACTGAGACCTTCGGCGAAGCTCCCATGGGGCCACGAAGCGTGTGAGGGGTGGGCCGAAATTAATGGCGCGGACGCATGCGGATTGTGCCACTGTGACCTTCGGCGAAGCCCCTTATGGGGCCACGAAACGTGTGAGGGGTGTGCCGAGATGAGCGGCGGGGACGCATGCGGACTGTGCCACTGGGACCTTCGGCGGAGCCCCTTTATGGGGCCACGAAACGTGTGAGGAGTGGGCCGCAATGAATGGCGGGGACGCATGCGGACTGTGCCACTGGGACCTTCGGCGGAGCCCCAATGGGGCCACGAAGCGTGTGAGGGGTGGGCCGACATGAGTGGCAAAGACGCATGCGGACTGTGCCACTGGGATCTTCGGCGGAGCTCCTATGGGGCCACGAAACGTGTGAGGGGTGTACCGACATGAGTGGCGGGGACGCATGCGGACTGTGCCACTGGGACCTTCGGCGGAGCTCCTGTGGGGCCACGAAACGTGTAAGGGGTGGGCCGAAATGAGTGGCGGGGACGCATGCGAACTGTGCCACTTGGACCTTCGGCGGAGCCCCTATGAGGCCACGAAGCGTGTGAGGCGTGTGCCGAAATGAGCGGCGGGGACGCATGCAGACTGTGCGACTGGGACCTACGGCGGAGCTCCTATGAGGCCACGAAGCGTGTGAGGGGTGTGCAGAAATGAATGGCGGGGGCGCATGCGGATTGTGCCAGTGCGACCTTCGGCGGAGCTCCTATGGGGCCAGAAAGCATGTGAGGGGTGGGCCGGAATTAATGGCGGGGACGCATGTGGATTGTGCCACTGTGACCTTCGGCGGAGCTTTTGTGGGGCCACGAAACGTGTGAGGGGTGGGCCGAAATCAATGGCGGGGACGCATGCGGACTGTGCAACTGGGACCTTCGGCGGAGCCCCTTTATGGGGCCACGAAGCGTGTGAGGGGTGGGCCGCAATGAATGGCGGGGACGCATGCGGACTGTGTCATTGGGACCTTCGGCGGAGCCCCAATGGGGCCACGAAGCGCTGCACTGGGTGGAGCTCTTATGGGGCCACGAAACGCTGTACTCGGTGGGGAAGGCGCATGCGGACTGCGCCACGGGGACCTTCGGCGGGGCTCTATATGGGGCCACGAAACGCTGTACTGGGTGGGGGAGACGCATGCGGACTGCGCCACGGGGACCTTCGGCGGAGCCCCTATTGGGCCACGAAGCGCTGTACTGGGTGGGGGAGACGCATGCGGACTGCGCCGGGGGGACCTTCGGCGGGGCTCTATATGGGGCCACGAAGCGTTGTACTGGGTGGGGGAAACGCATGCGGACTGCGCCACGGGGACCGTCGGTGGGGCTTCATATGGGGTCACGAAACGCTGTACTGGGTGAGGGAGATGCATGCGGACTGCGCCACGGGACCTTCGGTGGGGCTCCCTATGGGGCCACGAAGCGCTGTACTGGGTGAGGGAAACGCATGCGGACTGCGCCACGGGGACCTTCGGTGGGGCTCCATATGGGGCCGCGAAACGCTGTACTGGGTGGGGGAGACGCATGCGGACTGCGCCACGGGGACCTTCGGCGGGGCTCTATATGGGGCCACGAAGCGCTGTACTGGGTGGGGGAGACGCATGCGGACTGCGCCACGGGGACCTTCGGCGGAGCCCCTATGGGCCACGAAGCGCTGTACTGGGTGGGGGGTGGGGGAGACGCATGTGGTATGCAGTACTGGGTCCTTCGGTGGACCTCCCTATGGGGCCACGAAGCGCTGTACTGGGTGGGGGAGACGCATGTGGTACACACCACTGGGGCCTTAGGTGGAGCTCCCTATGGGGCCATGAAGCGCCGTGCTGGGTGTGGCCGACGCATGTGGTACACCCCACTGGGGGCGGGGGGGGGCACGGGAGGAGGACGAGAAGGAGGAGACGTGGGGACCGTCTCTTCAAAACGAGGACCCAACAACACAGGTTGGTTGGGACAAATACAAGAAAATCGTCCCCGTCATAATTTTTTGCTATTTTGGCATATTGCCCCTGTAGAGAGGGGCACGCCCGACTTCACCCCACGTTCGCGCGCGCCGCCGAGACACCTGCGTGCTCCCGGAGCCGAGGGGCGGCTGGCGTCTTTCCCACCTGACCCGATCTCCCCTAAAAGCACTGGTTTTCAGCGGCCGTCCCTCCTCGTCCCCCCAGGTCACGTCACGACTCGTGCCGGCGTCGTGTGGGAATCCCGAAGCATTCCAAGACGGCGCCAGCGTGCATCGCGACGTGACTGGCCCCCTACCCTCCTCACCCCCCTCCAGTCACGGCCGTGATCGCCCGAGACAAAACAACGTCTCCCGCGAGACTGCCCCTGGCCCTCGCACCTCCCTCTGCCAGAAGGGGGGGGGCCTTCCGCATGCTCTCGAGCTTGGACCGGGTGCCGCTGCCCGACGGGTCCAGCCTCGAGCGCGAGACGCCCGGACACCTGAAGGCGCAGGGGGAGCTCATGGGCCTGTTTTCCACCTCCACCACCACCATAAGTTGGAGGGGAGGGGTCTTCCTCCACCTCCTCCTCCACCTCCTCCTCCTCCTCCACCTCCTCCTCCTCCTCCTCGTCCTCCTCCTCCTCCTCCTCCTCCTCCCTCCCTTCCTCCTCTTCCTCCTCCTCCTCCTCCTCCTCCTCCTCCTCCTCCTCCTCCTCCTCCTCCTCCTCCTCCTCCTCCTCCTCCTCCTCCTCCTCCTCCTCCCCCCCTCCAACTTATGGTGATGGCGGTGGAAAACAGGCCCATCAGGAGCAGGAGATGCAGGCCGCTGCGTCTCCGGCAGACCAGCTGCAGCCTCCCGGGGGGCAATGACCAGAAGGGGAGGCAGGCGGCGTCGACCACCGACCGTGGGCGGTCTGCACCACAGGCCCTATACGACACTGCGAGGCTCGTGCCGAAGATGTGAAGACCTCGGCGTGGGCACGGCCTGCCTGCACACCCACCGGATTTCCGCGAGAGGCTCACGTGGTGCCGACAGCCTGGGAAGGGCCCACCTGAGAACACCCACTGCTCGACTGGGACATGCCAGCAGCGGCCCAATGGGGCATGGGGGGGGAGGGTCAGAGGAGGAAAAGGTAATCGATACCGCTGCAGATGTTTCGTTTGGGTCTTTATGGGCCTCTTGGGAGGCTCCCGACGCTACGGCTGGGTGACTTTCTGCCCTCCAAACTTTCTGGGCGCAATTTGTTGGGTTCGCTATGGTTTTCCCTCTTCCCGTTGCGTTCGTTCACACCACTCCGCCGCAATGGACCCATCCTGGTCACTTTTGGGCCCCCTCTCGGGGGGCCCCCCTGGTGCCCTTTCTGGGCCGATGCCGACGGTCGTTGAGGCTTTGCCGGCTTCTCTGCGGCCGTCCTGGCGTTTTGTCGGGGCCCTCCTCGGCTTCCAGGAGCAGGTTCTCGGTAACTGTTTGTGCCTGCTCGGGCCGCCTTCGCCGCTGTGTGACACGGTGCGGCTCGGGAGGTCCACTTCCTTCTATAGCGAGCCTCACCAAGTCCCGTCGCGGGATTCACGTCTTCCCACATCTGCACTCGAAGCGGCCGCGCTCCAGAAACAGTGGGCTGGCTGTGTCTGCCCCCTCGGGAGCGCCTAATGAAAGTAGTTAAGCGTTCTCTTGAACCTGACACGCGCACCGAGCACACCCCGTCTTCATGACTGCGTGCGACAGCGACGACCTCTTTCTCCTCCGACTGCATGCGAGGCGAGGCGAGGCAGCAGGCGCCTGCGCTGGGAGGCGCTGATGGCTGGGTGGAACGTCGCCTCCTCGCCAGCGGCGCGCGCAGGCAGAGTTGGCGCGATAGCTGATGGGCCTGTTTTCCACCACCACCACCACCACCACCACCATCACCATAAGTTGGAGGGGGGAAGGAGGTGGAGGACGAGGAGGAAAAGGAGGACGAGGAGGAGGAAGAGGACGAGGATGATGAGGAGGAGGACCCCCTCCCCCTCCAACTTATGGTGGTGGTGGAAAACAGGCCCACCAATCGCCGCAGCAGGTTCATCGATCCCCATCCACACTGGCATGGCTTTGGCCCTACTGGCCGAGTTACCCCCGTGGGTGGGGATGTGTGTCGTTTCGCGGCGCCTACCGCCACCTGGGCGTGTGGACTGATGGGGCTCCGATGTCACGGCCCCGTGGGGATTGGGGTCGGTGAGATGATGCAGAAGTTTGTCATCGCCCCCCCTGTCTCTAGAAGAAGGTCTTGAAACCTGGGGATGCTTTGAACCAGCTGTGCCTCGCCGAAGACGTCCCACAGGGGCGCCCAACCGTCCCGAACGGCCGCCGGAGACCCGCGAATTATGACTAGAACGCCAGGCCTCCTCGCGCCGTGACAACAAAAACACGACGGACAAGTGTTGGCCTCGGTTGGGCAGTTCCTCCCCTCCGAGCTCCCTCGTCCCCCTCCCTCTCGACGAGCACCAAGCTGTCACCGCTCACCCACTCATCTGCCCCGAGCCCTCCTGGCCACAGCGTCGGAGTGGCCAGGGAGGGTATCGCTCTGGCGGGCGATGGGGACCCAGACGTCGGACGCCGCGATTCTTGCGCAACGTGGACCCCCCAAAGGTCTGGACCCCTTCCCAGGGGGACCGGCTTTTCCCGTCCCGAGTCCTTTTGGCTGGACTGTCCTGGGGCCCGGGAAGGACCCCAGGGAACGGCCACAGCGCCCTAAGATGCAGGGGCCCTGGGACACACCAATCACTAATTAGACACAAATCCCAGGATTCCCCATCTTCTCCCATATTTTCCGGGTTTTCGTCTTTCCCCCACCCCCCCATCTGTTTCCATTACTTCCTGGGAGTCGACGATTCAGTGTTTCTGTGTGTGTTTCCCATCCTGCTCAAACTCTCCCGCCGTGCTTTTGCGCACGACGCGCATGGATGTCCGGGCCTGGGGCGCTCTTCGGCGCACGTCGGCCCGAGGCCCCCTCGAGCAGGCGCCGCCGCGGCGCGGCCCGGCGCGCTGCCCTCCCGGCCCTCGCGCGTGGTCCTGCTGCTCCCCGGCCAGCCGCTCCTCCTCCTGCTGGGCCTGCAGGCACTGCCTCCGCAACTGCCGCCGGGCGGCGTCCTTGCGGGCGGCGCTGCGGCCGGCTCCGGAGATATCCGGAGGTCGCGGACGGGAGCGGAGCCCCAGACCTCCGCGCGCTGTGAAAACATCGCGACGGGAAATTTTTCGCTATTTTCCGCCGGGCCCTTCCCAGGCCTCGGGAGCGTAAACAGCGACTCAAGATGAAAAACCGGTCCCGGGGAAGGGGTCCGAGCCTCTGGGGGTCGACGTTGTGAAAAAATCACGACGTCGGACGTCTGGGGATCGCGGGGCGGAGCGGGAGCAGGGAGGCGTCGTGGACGAAGCTGGCGCCCGACATGTTCCGCCCACGCTGGGATGCGGCCGAACTGTGTGGTTCGGACCAAAGACGAACGACAACTTCGCCGCAAGTTCAGGCACATGTCACACGCCGTTTTCGGTCACAACTTCTGGCACGTTTTCGGCAACCGATTTCTCCTCGCCTACCTTTTCGGCTGATAGGGGCGGGGTGCCATGACCGTGGCGCGTCAGCCCCCCCCCCCGCCGCATCGCCCTGCCAAGCCACGGAGTTCCCACGTGCCGTCCCTAGCCGTCCAGTGCGGCTGGCGAGGGCAGAGGCGGCGAGCCTCCCCTCCTCCTTGCACCTCCCTCCCTCCCTCCCTCCCTCCCTCCTCCTCCTACCCCTCCTCCTCCTCCTCCTCCTCCTCCTCCTCCTCCTCCTCCTCCTCCTCCTCCTCCTCCTCCTCCTCCTCCTCCTCCTTCTCCTCCTTCTCCTCCCTCTCTGGGCGCCGCGGCCCCCTAGGCTCCCTCGGGGAGGGACTTGCACCCCCGTAGGAGACCTAGGGGGCAGACCGGAAGGAAGCGGTCCGCCTGCTAGGCCACGGTGGGCCTGCAGGCCGCTTTAATTTCGGCTAGGCAGAAGCAAGGAACGGAGGAGGAGGAGGAGGAGGAGGAGGAGGAGGAGGAGGAGGAGGAGGAGGAGGGGACGGGCGCACAGAAGGCGCCCTGGCAAGGGCGGCCCGGCAGGGGAAGGGGAGGGAGGGGGAAGGGAGAGGGGGACGGGGGGCGGCGGCGTTCGTCGGCGTGGTGGTGGTCATGCTGGTGGTGGTCGTGGTCGTGGTGGTCGTGCAGGTGGTGGTCGTCTTGGTGGTCGTGATGGTGGTGGTCGTGGTGGTCCTCCTTCTCCTCCCTCTCCTCCCTCCCTCCCTCCCTCCCTCTTTCCCTCCCTCCCTCCCTCCCTCCCAGTCGGAGCAGGCTGGATTGGGCTGGGGTGGGCTGGGGTGGGCTTGGGTGCACCCCTCTTCTCCTCTCTCCCTCCCTCTCAATCCTTGCAACAGGTTGCCGTGGTGGCGCGAAACTAACCGCGCCCGACGTCAGTTGCTCGCGGGGGGCGCCAGGTGGGGGACCTATCTGCGGGACCGGGGTGGATAAGGGAGGGTTGGATCGAGCTGAGGTGACCGCTCACCTCCTGCCGGCCTCCCTTTCTCCCTCCTGGCCCTTGGGAGGGCAGGTTGAGACTGCGATCGAGGGTCGGGGGGGGGGCCCCTCCCGGTCCCCCCGGCTGGCCGTTTGCCCCGTACCTGGTGCGCTCGGGCCTGGGGTGGGGGTCCCAGGGCCGCTCTCGGGCTGCTGTTGTCTCAACTTTCCCTTATCGGACAGGGCTGGGCTTGGGCGTGGGCTGGGCTGGGCGACAAGTCCAAATCCTCAGTTTTCAACGTTCCCCTAAGTCTCCTTTGGATGGGAGGCCCTCCCCCCGTCCCTCAGCAGGCCGGTATCCCCGGTGTGCGGCTGGGCCGAGGTTGGCTTAGCCCCTAGTCGATAGGATGACTTGGTATCGGTTTGGGCAGCGCCGTTCCCTCCTCCGCAGCACGGGGCTCCAGCTCTGAGGTTCGTGCCGAAGACCGCATGGACCCCCCTGACACAGGTAGGCATCGCGCTGGCTGTGGACAGGGCGGAGGCCAGGTTCTGGTCGACAGTGGTCGCCGCGTAATTAACCTCCTCCCTCCTTCTGGGGCGCACTCTTTCTCTCTCTTGTTGTTTTGTTCTCTCTCTCTCTCTCTCTCCCTCTCTATCTCCCTCTCTATCTCCCTTCCTCCCTCCCTCCCGCCCTCCCTCCCTCGCGGCTGCGCTACTCTCGAGGCAGGGGCCCAGTTCGTGCCTCTCCCCTCCTCGTCCTCGTGCTCGTCCTCGCCCTCGTCCTCGTCCTCCTCTTCCTCCTCCTCCTCTTCCTCCTCCACTTCCTCTTCCTGCTCCCCCCACTAAAGACGGTCCTCTGCATGGGAGTTGCGCATGTCGGGTTGGGGTCCTCCTCTTCCTCTTCTCCTCCTCTTCCTCCTCCTCCTCCTCCTCCTCCTCCTCCTCTTCCTCCTTCTCTCCCCTTCTGCTCGCCACTCGATGAGACGAGGCTGGGGGTGTCCTGGACGATGGCTGCGACGACGTCTTCCCTCCCTCTCTCCCTCCCTCCGGCGGCACGCTCCCTCCGCCGGGCCGTTTCCCCAGCAGGGACGCTGCGGCAACGGGAGCCGACGTCAGCCAGGTTGGGCTGGGCTGGGAGTTCCTTCGGTTTCCCAGGGAGGGTTTTCGTTTCCCCTCCCTGTCTGCCTGACTGCAGTGGTGCTTTGCGCACGCTGTTATGACTGCGTGGGCTGGGGGACAGGGCGAAGCCCCCGGCAATTGAGATGCGGACTCTCTGCTGGCCCAACCCACCACTGACGGTCGCTGTCCCCTCCATCGCCGTCTATTCAGTCACCAGAGGTGGCCATGGAACTGCCCGCCTGGAAACACAATTGTCGGTGTGGGGATGCTCCGTCGCGGGAGGTTTCCTCCTGCCCGGCCAAGCCCACTAGAAGCATCCGTGCTCGAGGATGCAAACGCCGCCCAATGGGCCACCCCAGCCAGCCAGCCTCCTCTTCCTCCTCCTCCTCCTCCACCCTCCCTCCCTCCCTCCCTTCCTCAGCTTGGAAACGCATTATCAAGATGGCGGTACACGCTACGGCCAAATCTCATGCTCGAAATGTTGAGGCGGCCACAGTGTCTCTCGGCGCAAACGCTGTGTCCGGCACGACTCCGAATTAGATCGTTTTCGACCTCTACGCGCCCCCCCCCCGACATCGGAGCAGGTTACCTTTTCCACCTCGCAGGTTCACGACGACTTGGCGGAGGCTAGACCTACAGGCCCACCAGAGGCTGATGGGGAGCAGGAGTACGTAGATGCACGTGCTTTTCTTGGTGACTCGCAGGGGGCATCAGACCCCCCCCCGCCCGCCCCTGCACCGCTAACACCCGAAGTCTTGGAGCGCATCGCGCAAAACCGCGCGCGGGCACGCGTCAGAAGAGCTGCTCAACTCCACGAAGCGAGACAGGCTCGCTTGCGCGAGGTAGCCCCGTGGACCCATGATCCTAATTTTGGCAGAGGCTTGTTCGGATAAGTTGCTGCCTGCCAATTATCCAGAGATGGAGGTTCAGAACCGTCAAAAGTTGTCTCTTGCCATCCAGCCGCTCGCAACTGCTTTCTCTGTGCTATTTCCCCCGTGCCTCCCCTGCCTTGTGATGTCGATGTTTTTCCGTCCACGTCGACGGCATGGTGGTGTAGGACCGATGCCATTGTTCTCTCTTTGTTGGTGACGCTTTCCTTTTATTGAGTTACGCTGGACATTCCTTTTGGCCGCGCCGCTCTTCTGTGTGTTCAGTGCGCGCTGGCCGCGATTGAATTGTTGGTGCTTCGCGCAGGCGGTGGCATAGGGCGAGCGTGCGAATATCGTGAACCCCCGAAGGCCCATCACCTGTACAAGCCCACGCTACTGGTTTCAGGTCCCATCGCAGGCCATCTCACTTGCTCCCCTACTTGATATGCCTCCTCTTGCTTCTTCCCTTCTCCTGTAGCGTTGCATTGAGTCGCATGCGCTGTGTGACGTGATGGGCGGGGGGCGGCATGGGCATGGTCGGCCAGAGCATGTACACCTTGGCGCCCGTGCTGATAGATGTCGCGTGTTTCTGCCAGCAGCTAGTGAGTGCCGCACTAAGCTGACCGTCTCCTCGGCGAATCAGAGCGCAATCAAAATCCCTCCCCCCCTCCTTCCCCCCCTCCCTCCTCCTCCTCCTCCTCCTCCTCCTCGCCCTCCTCCTGAAAAGATGTGCGGATGATTTCGGTATGGAGAATGCTTTCCTGGGTTAGAGGCTCAAGCCGGCTGCGGGTAAAGGGATTGTAACAGCCCCCCTCAGATCTGTCACGTTTACACAGATCGGGGCAGGGCTGCCCTAAATCAGCGCGCGAAGAAGTAAAGGAAAAACTAAAGGAATACCAATGCTCACCTGATGTCTTTGGGGGCGCGGAGGCAATCTTCTGTTGCATCTGATAACCCTATGTTTCAATTAGAATAATTTCGCCGCTCCAACAGGTCAGCCACGATCCGGAGAGCCTCTGCCACGCTGGATCTCGTCTACAGATCGTTCACATCAATGCGAATATCGTGCATGATGTTCTGCCCCCTTTGCTTAGTAGTCAGAGGAGGCTTGACTCTCTTGACACAGGCTCGGCTACGGCTCGGGCTCACGTTCGCCTCCTTCGTAAGGGAACGGCCCCCGTCTTTGGTGTCACGCTCTGCTCTGCTGCCTGATCCCCCGGTTTCGGCGGGGGCGGTGGCAACGCAGACTTTGCGTCGACCCGCACCTTTTCCGATTGGATTTCCGTCCGATCTTTTTGCAGTAACAAGCCTTGATGCTGCGATCGAAACCCTCTGCTGCTTCATGTGACATCTTGTGCTTCGAATCAGTCACGAAACGTTGTTTCATCCTGACTGAAAGGGTCGCCAGCGCTTTATCGCGAGAGTTCACTTGATATGACTTGACAACCACGCAGTATGAAGGCAAAATATCTGGACATTCTTTGTACATATATATATATATATATATGCAAAATCTGGGTGCAACATGCCCTGCCACTGGATTTACGATTGGCGCGTCCAACCCAAGGTCTTGAGGCTGAATGACTACGCAAAACCACCGCGCATACATTCCAAACCTGCGCTTCAACGTAGGACGCC